CACCTCCCTCCGCTCTGTCACCCTCCCGGCTAGCCTCACCTCCATCGGCTACTGCGCCTTCGCCCACTGCTCCGCCCTCTCCTCCGTCAACCTCCCCGCCGGCCTCACCTCCATCGGCTACTGCGCCTTCGCCCACTGCTCCGCCCTCTCCTCCGTCAACCTCCCCGCCGGCCTCACCTCCATCAACAACGCCGCCTTCCACAGCTGCTCCGCCCTCGCCTCCGTCACCTTCCCTGCCGGCCTCACCTCCATCCGCTACCGCGCCTTCCACAGCTGCTCCGCCCTCGCCTCCGTCAACCTCCCCGCCGGCCTCATCTCCATCGGCGACGGTGCCTTCCAAGAGTGCTCCTCCCTCACCTCCATCACGCTGCCGCTGCCCGATGGCCTCTCGATTGGCGACTTTGCCTTCTCCGACTGCCCCCTCAGCGAAGGCGCAAAGGCAGCAGTGCGGGCCATCAACTTTTGGGCGGTGCAGCCTTCAATCGACGCGCGGGGGCACGCCACTGTGCCAGAGGGCATCACCACCATCACCAACTTCGCCTTCTCCGAGGAGTGCTCCTCCCTCGTCTCCGTCACCCTCCCTGCCAGCATCACCTCCATCGGCGACAGCGCCTTCTCCCGCTGCTCCGCCCTCGCCTCCATCTCCCTCCCCGCCGGCCTCACCTCCATCGGCAAGCACGCCTTCTGGGGCTGCTTCGCCCTCTCCTCCGTCGACCTCCCCGTCGGCCTCACCTCCATCGGCAACTACGCCTTCTGCGGCTGCACCTCCCTCCGCTCCATCACCCTCCCCGCCGGCCTCAGATCCATCGGCCAGGAAGCCTTCAAGGGCTGCTCCGCCCTCGCCCGTGTCGCCTTCCCCGCCGGCCTCAGATCCATCGGCTTCTGCGCCTTCGCCGACTGCTCCGCCCTCGCCCGCGTCACCTTCCCCGCCGGCCTCACCTCCATCGGCCAGCAAGCCTTCTAACCGCTGCACCTCCCTCGCCTCCATCAGCCTGCCCGGCGGCCTCACCTCCATCGGTTGGCACGCCTTCTCGAGCTGCTCCCGCCCTCGCCCACGTCACGGTACCAACCACC